GTTTCTGTGTCTTCCTAGCTTTTGCTTGGGGAGAGCCAAGGCCGCGTTCCAGTGGCACGATCAACACGAGCTTCCCGACTGAGAACACAATGGTTGAAAGAATCGATGAAACTCTATGGAAATGACGAACTCAGTCGCCTTCCATCAGCGCGTATGCTTTCTCGAGATTGTGAAGGTCTCAGCCATGCATCGTCTCAGGCGATTCGCCACTACGTGTTAAAGCGCCGACCTCTGCTCGTCCAAGCACGGTGGCGCAATCGTCGAATTCGAACTTCTTTTACGATACCAGAACAGACTGGGTCGCTCGTAATCTGAAGTACTCGGTAGGAACAGTTCTCTCGAGGAGATGATATGATGTTCGACTAGGTTGACCCTCTTCTCTGTCATAGTCGTGACCATTTGAAGAGATTGAAGTACCTCACGTCTCACAGGCTGAGATATCCCCAAAAGGTGCGCTCGTCGACACTACCGACTCCTGCCAAGGAGGAATGAGCATCGATACGACATTTCGGCTGGGTTGATGATGCACCGATGTAACTCTCTTTAACGATGTGTTCCCATGTGACTGTCGTTGTTGTTGCATCCAGTTGAGTTGTAGTTGATCGAAAGTACTGACGACAGAGAACATGTGTTTTTTGTGGGGACTACGCTCCGGAAGTTGTAGTTCATCTGAGCCAACTGGTCGACAACTTCGCCGGTCGGTCTCAATATACAGCGTTTGTGGACAACACTCTCGAAACACGTCACAGCGTTTTTCAACGTGAAGTGCGTTGCCCGGAAGAGCTATAGTGCTGAGACATCACAGTTATTGATCGACCCTTACTGATGCAGTCCTGGCCTATGCGAGTGGTTTTCAGTGCAACCTTTGGTGATTGCTATCGCCGGAGATGCACTGGATATTGGGTTTATTTTATAGGAGCAAATTGCGCCTTCAACTCCAGTAATGCCTTGAGTATACCTCAAGTAACGCCTTAAGTATATCTTGAGTAACTCCTTAAGTTGCTCATGGACTTGAGGTGCCTTGAATGAAGTAGCCTTGTGAAACAGGCCCACTGTTGAGAAACTGATCGACCGGTTGTCAGTAGATTTCTGTAACCTCTCATGGACAGTGTGTCGTTTTCAGCTGAGGCTAACGTGAATTGTGAACAGGAAGACGATCAAGGGATACTCGATGGTGACGACTCAGTGTCTACGTCATACCACTCCTTTCCCTCTTCTCCTAGTCCCGACGCCGCCAGATGAAGACGTTATCCCTACACAGTGCCTCGATGATGCTCTCTGTGGTGTCTCTCCTGGTTCATCTACTATGGTCAACCGAACCTACAACGTTCTCCTGAGGACGGGTCAGGAAGTAGGCATTGATCCCGCATCATTAAGAGCTGACGTTAGGAGGCACATATGAAAAATTATGTGATTATAGAGTATCATGAAAAGATGGATCATTCATGGCGGATTTATAGATGTGAACCTCTCCTAAGCACTCGAAATGTTGATGCCCATCAAAGCTCAAGTAGAGCGTTACATCATCTTTTCTGAACTGTTCTGGAAGTCCCTGAGCTAAGAATAGATTCGATTCCACTCTGTATTTCAGCTCCGCAAGAAGGTATCATATCTCAACGCAACTGAGTTGGTCCAAATGTGAGTCAACTTCGTTTACAGTGATGTCTACATCTGTACAGCTACCGAGTAACGTCATCGCAGCCCAGTCTACTGAAGCCCTTGAACGAGAGGCTTGTATTAGAGCCGCGGTCAAAGGGCTACATACGCTTCCGCATTCTACCATTGACAAGGGAAATCCGGACAAGGTCAGGCCGGCCTCCGTGATTGTGTCATCAGTCTGGTTCGTTTTAGGGTTATCGTCACCATCACGCCTTCTGACATGACTGTTCCTCATGCAATAAGGGAAAGGCTTGTTTTTGATTTGACATATATTGCATCGTTACCATGATGATAGCAAACCTATGTGTTCGTGCTTTAGTGGTCTCTGGGGAATGTAACGCGACAACGCTGACGACGTACTTCGTCGTT